CTGAGAGCCCCTGGCAGGGCCTAAAGGGGCTCCAGGAGAGCTGGAGAGGGACTGGGGACAAGGGATGGGGGGACAGGACACAGGGAATGGCTTCAAAGTGGAAAAGGTGGGATATTGGGAAGGAATTTCTGGCTGGGAGGGTGGGCAGGCCCTGGAATAGAATTCCCAGAGAAGCTGTGGCTGCCCCTGGATCCCTGGAAGTGTCCAAGGCCAGGTTGGAGCACCCTGTGCTGGTGGAAGGTGTCCCTGCCCATGGCAGGGGTGGGATGGGATGGTCTTTAAGGTCCCTTCCCACCCAAACCATCCTGTCCTTTCGTATCCCAGCTTGAGCTGCTGCGAGCACATCGTGGCTCTCCTAGTTGGAGTTCAGTTTTGCTGGATGGTTTATAAATGCAAATGATGGATAAACACATTGACTGTCCCTCTGGATCACATCTCGTGTCCATCCTGAACCAGAGCCAGCAGGAGCCATTCCAGCAGGGAGCAGGGAGAGCGTGCAGAGACAGCTCTGTGATAGCCTGGCCTGCCATGCCAGAAAGAAAGATACATTTTCTGCCCTAAAGCATGAGGTTTAATAATCCTTCAAACAATATTTTGGTATAATCATCAACTATTATAATTGCTCTGGATCATCTTGTCATCTTTATAAATGCCTGTTCCATTTTTTAATCAGGCTGGACCAAAAGAAAAAAAATAAAAAAATCTCTGTTGATGAATCACAGGGTTCAGATTTGTGCTGTGTGTGATGTTTAGCCCCAAAAGTTTACAAATAACTACAAGAGAGGAAAAAAAAAAAAAAGTCCATTTCAGGGAGAGGATTAGGCCAAAGTTTCAGTTTTCTGTAGGGGATCTAAGAGGATTTGCAGTACACTGGCATCAGTGTGAGGTTGGCACGGGAATATTGTTAAAAATGACACTTTCTGCCCATTCCCCATCCACAGGCTCCCGATGGATTTGTAAATCCTCATCCTAAAGGCAGGATTGATGTCACCCATCCTCCTGCCATCTGAATCTTCCCTGTGTGGATGAGACTGATCTTTGGATTTTGAGGGCTGGAAAGCAAAGGGGGAGATTGCTGAGAGGAGATAGCTGGAGGCAGAGAAGAGGAGCTGTCACAGGACCCAGGGCAGGGACAGAGCTGACAGGACAGGGAGCTCCATCCCCTGCCTCAGCCAGTCTGAAACCTTTTTGCCTGATGTGTCTCTACTCCAAAAAAAAAAAAAAATCTGGAAAAGAGATTTTTGCAGCCACCAGAGCAGCCCAGTCAGTGAGCACCGTCCCTGGAGCTTTGTCCCTGTGCCTTTGCCACTCCTCTTGTGCTCCAGCTTTGTGTTCCCTCCCTGTGGGGAGAGTCTTTGCAGCTGCATTGATGCAACACCCCCTGGGGAGCACCGAGAGCTGCTCCTTTGCTTTGGGAGGGGAAAGAATTCCTAGATGGAGATAAAAAAGAGGAGGTATGTGGTAAATCAGACCTGCAGAAGCCCCTCTGCCCCCTCAGACCCCCCTGCAGATCTGCCTTCAGCCCTGGGAACAGCACAGGGAGCACGAGGGGCTGCTGGAGAGAGGCCAGAGGATGGAGATACTCCAAGGGCTGGAAGAGCTGGGGGGTTCCCCTGGAGCAGAGAAGGATCCAGGGAGACCTGAGAGCTCCTTGCAGGGCCTAAAGGGGCTCCAGGAGAGCTGGAGAGGGACTGGGGACAAGGCAGGGAGGGATAGGACAAGGGGGAAATGGCTTCAAACTGAAAGAAAATAGGTTTAGATTGGATATTGGGAAGGAATTCTTGGCTGGGAGGGTGGGCAGGCCCTGGCACAGGTTGCCCAGAGAAGCTGTGGCTGCCCCTGGATCCCTGGAAGTGTCCAAGGCCAGGCTGGAGCACCCTGGGCTGGTGGAAGGTGTCCCTGCCCATGGCAGGGGGTGTCACTGGATGGGTTTTAAGTTCCCTTCTCACCCAAACCCTCCTGTGATTCTCTGATTCCCTCCTTCTCCCTTCTCCCTCTCCCCTTTCCTGGCTGGAACAGCCACTCAGAGCTGTCACAGAAGCCACAGGTCCCCAGTTGCTATTTGGCCCACAAGGAGGGTTGATTCCCCCTTCCCCAGCCCTGGCTGGCAGGAGGAGAGGTCAGTGCTGGTTGCACTGGGAGAGGAGGTTGTTCCCTCAGAGATGGGCTGGTGATGGAGCTGAGCCTGGAAAGAAGTGGCCACCAGAAAACTTCCAGCCTCTTCCTTCCTAGGCTGGAATTTGGCAACATTCCCAGGACAATAAGTCAGTGCAGTAGAGTTGGTTCTATCCTCAGTTGTACCATAAAGCTGGAAATCAGAGGATCAGAGTTATTGATGCTTTGTGATGTGATGCAGATTATAGAGATTCAGGCAGAAAGTAATGGCTCATTGTTGCTGTGAATATTGTGAATATTCTCTTCACAAGAGGCATTTGACCCTTTTTATTCTCCACTGAGTTGGATTTGCTGAAAACCTCAACAACCTTCCTGAATTTCTTTATATTCTCTGGATTACATCAGGTTTTTCAGGGCAGTGAGTTGCTGGATTTCTGTTTGTTTGCCTGTGGGGTTGGTGGGAATGGAGGGAAATGTGTGATGCAAGTAATGAGAGATTCCTGCCTGCAAACCCTCATTTCCCTGTGCTTGCTGTTTTGAGGGATGAAATGGAGGTGTCAGAACATTTTAATCCCATCCCTGCTCCGTCTCCCTCCCCCATGGATCCAAAGGGCCCCTTTCATCCAGAGGATTATGAAGCCATCGTGCTGAACAGCCCCACCAGGCTGGTTTGATGGTGGCCTTTCATCTTCCCCTGGAAGTTTGGAAGGTTTCTCTGGGGCTCCCTTGCTCCCTGACTCATGACCTGATGTTTGGGGAGAGCAAAGAGCAGCTCCTGGGAAAAAAAAAACCAAAACAAAACAACAAAACCCTTAAATCCAGGCAGGAGAGAGAAACAGGAGCCCCCTGAGTGCTCCAGGAATTCTTGCTGGGAAGTATCTGCAGAGTCCCAAGGCAGGAGGAGCTGGAAGAGAGGGCTTTGCTCTCCTGATTCCCCAGAGGGTTTCCTTCTGGTGACCAGTGAGGGGACCCCAGGGATGACCTGGAGCTGTTCCAGGGCAGGCTCAGGTGGGATCTCAGGACAAGGCTCTTCCCCCAGAGGGTGGTTGGCACTGAACAGGCTCCCCAGGGCAGTGGGCACGGCCCCAAGGCTGCCAGAGCTCCAGGAGCGTTTGGATGATCCCTCAGGCACAGGGGGGATTGTTGGGGTGTCCTGGGCAGGGCCAGGGGTTGCACTGGATATTCCTTGGAGGTCCCTTCCAGCTCAGGATATCCTGGGATCCCCCAGCCTGATCTGTCTGTGCTAGGACAGGTGTAGATGAAACCCTTCCCACCTGTGCTCTCTGAAGGCAGAGAAAGCAAATTCCTCCTGGGTGAACTCCAAATAAAGGAAACTCTGATTTTGGAGTTGGCTCTTGTGTTTGCCTCTAGTGATTAGTGTGTATTCCTTTAATATTGAAATAAGATTCCTATATAAAGCAGAACACACGGGAATATCTCTCTGTAATAATGAGGAGAGTGATCTGATTTCTGAATGTAACAGTTTTATTTCCTTTCCTTTTTTTTTTTCTTACCACGTTCCCTGCTATTCTTTGCCTGGAATGTCAATCCTTCACCTTCACATGCCTGGCTTTATTTAGGATTGCTGCTTTTCCTGTACTAGGAGTGTGTATATATATATATATATTTATAAATTGGCTCATCACTTATGCAGTTCAGAGTGTGCCTTGGAGCAAAGCCTGAATCCAGCAAGCGTGGATCCCTCACTGGAGATGACACAGGATGTCACAGCTCCGAGTGGGATCTTCTATTTCTATTATTTATATTTCTGTTATTTATGTTGATATCCTACAATGAATTGCCCTGCCCTGCCCCTTCGTGTTGAGCGTTGCTGTGGCTCCTCTTTCATCGTGTGCAAATATTTCATGGAAAGGTAAAACAAAAAGAAGGGAATTTAATCCGTTCTCCCTCCTGGGAGCAGCAGCTTCTTTCCATCAGCCTCTGCTGCTTTGGTGCTCCTGTCATAGGAGGTAAGATGGAAATCATGGAAACTCCCGTGGAGCTGCAGGTCCCACAAGGTACAGGGAATAAAAATTCCATGCTGGATTGTTCAGTTTTCCATGGGCAAAGGAGTGTTGTTCCCGTTGAGGTGACTCCCAGTCCAGCTCCTCAGGCTCTCCAGGTTGTTCCCAGCTGGCAGCCAAGTCCCAAGGAGTTCATGGGGAGGGGGTGGATTATCAGGGCTGGTTTTCAGCGAGCAGGACCTGACTTGAAGAGAGCAACACACTTTTCATGCTGAAGAAGACGTTTTCTACTAATTCCTTTCTTCCAGGGCTTAAAATCCCCCGTGCTGGCACCCATCCCATGCATTCCATGCTGCTTCCCAAGTGTGGCTGCAGCGATTCCACACATCAATCCCAATCTGCCTGGAAGTGTCCAAGACCAGGTTGGACAGGGCTTGGAGCAACCTGGGCTGGTGGAAGGTGTCCCTGCCCGTGGCAGGGGGTGGAATGAGATGATCCTGAAGGTCCCTTCCGTCCCATACCAGTCTGGGATTTTGGGATTCCCTGGTTATAACTTTCCCTGTTAGTCTCTTTTTCTCTCTCCCCTTTCCTTGTTGGAACAACCTGTCAGAGCTATGCCAAGAAACCAGTGAGTGCCAGAACACAGGGAATGGCTTCCCACTGGAAAAGGGGAGATTTAGGTGGGATATTGGGAAGGAATTGCTGGCTGGGAGGGTGGGCAGGCCCTGGCACAGGTTGGGCAGAGAAGCTGTGGCTGCCCCTGGATCCCTGGAAGTGTCCAAGGCCAGGCTGGAGCACCCTGGGCTGGTGGAAGGTGTCCCTGCCCGTGGCAAGGGGTGGAAGGAGATAACCCTTCAGATCCCACCCAGATCCCACCCAGACCTCCGTGTGACCCCACGACTCCTCTTGCTTTTTTCGCAGCCCCCCCTTCGATCAAGCTCCTGGTGGACGACCCCATCGTGGTGAACCCCGGGGAGGCCATCACCCTGGTGTGTGTGACCACGGGGGGGGAGCCAGGCCCCAGCCTCACCTGGGTGCGCTCTGGGGGGGCCCTGCCCGAGAAGACGGTGCTGAACGGGGGCACCCTGACCATCCCCGCCATCGGCGCCGCCAACGCCGGCACCTACAGCTGCATCGCCAACAACAACGTCGGCAACCCCGCCAAGAAGTCCACCAACATCATCGTGAGAGGTGAGTGGGGCCCCAAAACCAAACCCCCTGCCTCCATCTGGGAGGATTGGTGGAATCCTCACCTGGCTCAGCGGCGTCCCGTGTTGCCAAGGGGTGGTGGTCGGACGGGGTGACCCTCCAGGTCTCTCTTCCAGCCTTGGTGGTTCTGAGGTTTCTGGTTGTTTCTGACAATGTGTGGGGTGAATTAGAGTTGCATCAAGGGCCAGTGGCTCTTGTGCTGGAGGTGGTTTGGTGCCCCTTTGTGCTGGGGAGATGGAGCAGCTTTTCCATGTGAAGGGGAGAGACGTTGGTTTGTTCAGCCTGGAGAGGGGAGGTGAGTGGAGCTGGAAAACCATCCACCTTCCTCTTGGAAAGGTGTCAGAAACCTCATCTGGCACGGTGGTTCTCACTTAGTGCTGTCCTGCCTTTCCAAAGGGTCATGGTGATCTTCCAGCCACCCGGAGGGTCTTCCCAAATGATCTTCGAGATCTTTTCCAGCCTGGAGGATTCTGTGGGTTCTGCTCATCTCTGGGATGAGTTAGAGTTGCCTCAAAGAACCAGTGGCTTTTGTGCAGGGGCCAAACCCCTCAGGTGGAACAAGGGTGATTTGGTGCTGCTTTGTGTTGGGAAGATGGAGCAGCTTTTCCATCTGAAGGGGAGGGAAATCGGTTTGTAGAGCCTGGAGAGGGGAGGTGAGTGGAGCTGGAAAACCATCCACCTTCCTCTTGGAGGATTATTGGAATCCTCAGCTGGCCCGGTGGTTTCTACATCGTGGTGTCCTGCATTTCCAGGTGGTCATGGTTGGACTGGATGATCGCAAAGGTCTCTTCCAGCCTCGGGGATTCTGTGGTTTCTGATCATTTCTGGGACTTCAGACGAGTCCCTGTGCTTTAATTATTCTAAACAACAGGATAAATGTCTGCCTCAGGTAAAAATCTGAGAAAAGAGGTGCCAGATGGAGGGAAAGTGTCCCTGGCTGTTTATCCCCTTCTGGATAATCCAGGGACATGGGCAGTCGGTTTGGAGATGGAGTTTGGTTGGCATCATCAGGGAGGATCAATCTACCCGAACCAAACAGTTCATCTGAAAATAATTTTCTGTAACCTGCTGTGTGGATGGCAGTGACACCTGAACTCCCAGCCACAGGAACTTTAAATAAGTGCATGTGATTGATCAGAGCGGGGAGAAACTGCTGCATAAAGAGAACATTTCTGTGAATATTTCAGGAGAGCCACAGCTCCTGGTCACTCCTTCCTTGCCCAACATCTCCTGCTCTTCAGCAGGACGAGGAATTAGGAGCTATTTCTGCTCTGGGGGGCTCAAGGGGGGAGAGCCCTTGAACCAACCTGGGTCTGCAGGACCTGAGCAGGAGGTGGCTGCAGGTTTAGTTGGAACGTTGTGTTTCCATGTGAATTCCTGGCATGTGGCTCGGGGGTTTTGCTGCCCAGAGGCAGAGGCAGCCCCGACTCAGGGACTGCCAACAGGAATTTGAGGTGATTTCCAGAGGTGACGAGGCTGGGAAGGGAAGGTGGGAGGAGAACACCCTTGGAATAGGCAAAGGGAAGGGAAGGCTTTGCGTGGAGAGAAGTCTCGGTGTTCTGAATGACCCAGCCAAGTCCCTGCAGGTACAAATTCCCCGAGTCAGAGCATAATGATGATAAAAATAACAATAATAATATCCCCTCAGACTTGCATTTGTAGGAGACACTGCCTGGGAGCTGCAAGATGTTGGACAAAATATCTTTTTGCTTCTTTCCTCTCAGCTGGGCGGCCCTGGGAGTTCTGGGAAGGGACCACAACGAGAACAGCCCGTTAAAGGAACGAAGCTCAGCTCTTTTTTACCCCCCAGTTCTTTGCTACCCTTATTATTCCTGTTAAAGGGGAAGAACTTTTAGAAGAGAAAAACTTTTAGTTGAGTCTTGGTGGATTTATCCTTCCTAAAAGTGATGCTGAGTTTAGGAGTGAAATGTGAGACGCAGCAGATTTTGGGTTGAGTTTGTGTCCATGTTTCTCGACATTTTGCCTGTAGCTCCTTCCTCCTCTCTGGTTCAGCTCTTGTTGTTGCTGTGGATCAGGAGTTTCACACAGCAGCTGAGGAGAAAAGAGAATTTGCTTGAAATAGCGGCTGAGCCAGGCAGGGGAAGCGTTTGGGAAATGGGGTTCACATCTTCTGGCAGGTGGAACATGAAACCCAGGACTAGCCAATAATCCCCTAATCTGACCCAGAAAGGAAAGTTCAGTTGTCTCAAAGCATCCTGAGGGCTCAGATGTAATTTGTTCCCTTCAAAATTCACTCCATTTCCCAGTGTCTTTATCTGCACGTGCCTTTATTCCATGTGCTTCATTCCATGGGTGCTGAAGGAGCTCCATGATTTTTTTCTCCTGGGTATTTTTTTTTGGGGCTGGTGACCCACCACTCCTGACTGCAGACCAAGAGAGGTGGGGAGGGACTTGGGACAAGGGATGGAGGGACAGGACACGGGGAATGGCTTCTGGAGAGCATCTGGGAGGGACTCCTGCACATCACACTGGGAAACAGAGCCAGAGAGGTGTTTTACAGGCCTGTAAAGCACTTGGATTTAGAATCATGAAATTATTTAGGTTGGAAAAGCCCCCTCAGACCATCGAGTTCGACCATCCCCCAGCACTGCCAAGGCCACCACTGCCCCATGTCCCCAAGTGCCCCATCCAGAAGGATTTAAAATCCCTCCAATTTCTGCCATATTGGCAGAAGAACCTTTTCCCCCCTTCCTTCCTTTCCTCTCTGTGTTCTGGGAAGGGCTCACAGCAAGGAGCAGGACTGAATGAATTTAGGGATGTGGTTCAGTGCTGGGTTTAGGGTTGGACTCGGTTATCTCAGAGGGCTTTTCCAACCCAAACAAATCCCTGATTCCACTTGTGCTTTTTCCCAGGCCTTGGCACACATCCCCACACGTCTCTGCCGTGGAGAGCTGCCCTCTGGGATGGGATTTCAATGAGACAAGATTTTAGCCAAGCAAACCCATCTCGCAGCACATCCAGACTGTTCCTACAGTCCTAAATTCCCAGGGTGCTCCCCTAAAGCTTTCCAGCTCTGGGAGTGCTTGTGGGAAAAAAGTTGAGCTTCAGAGTTGAGTGAGTCCATTTATTTTAATAATCTGCAGTGGCAGGCTCAGGTCTGAGTGTTCTCCCAGGCTGGAGGGTCATGGGTGAGATCACAAAAGGCTTTCATAGACAGATGGAGATGGTTTATTGATCCTCCTGCCCTTTCCTGAGGGCTTCCCAGAACTTTTGCTGTAGGGAATTTTATTTATTAACAAGTTTGCTCTTCAAAACATGGTGAGGTGCCTGTTGGGCACCGTGGATCTGTGAGGATGGATCAGAAGGGGATTCAAGAGGTGGGATTTATTCCATCTCTCCCCTTCTGACCCCTGTGTTGGGGCAGCTTCACACAGACATGTGATTTGTCCATCTCAGCCTGGGGTGGGGGCTGACAGGGACTGGACATGAGCCCAGGGGGCCAAGAAGGCCAAGGACACCTGGCTTGGATCAGGGACAGTGTCCAGTGGGATCAGGGCAGGGACTGTCCCTGTGCTGGCACTGTTGGGGTGACACCTCCAGT